AGAATTTTGGGAATGTCACATGAAGAACTCTGGAGAACTCTAGATGGTATGAAAAGCTCCCGTCTTGATGAGGTAAGACGGAGTTGGAAATTATGTAAAGTGGTTTTTTTATGTTAAATAGTTTGAAGTATACCAGAAGATGGTTCTGGAAGAAAAATAAAGCAGAGGAATTGATCAAACAGGATGGAAAGCTTTCCACTAAAAAAGATGTAAAATATTTACTGTGTTAGATACTATTTTGGGACAAGGAGCAGTCCTTAGGACATATGAAGCCTGACAGGGTGTAAGACGTAGTCACCACTGTAACAGAGCTGTAAGAGGTGTTGTGCCTGGTTGGTTTGAGTTTATTATATATTATATGAAGTATATCAGTTACCCTTATGCTGTTTTGGGAAGGTGATCCTCTAGAGCCAGAGCTAGACCTGAGGTGACAAGGGTATAAATAAGTTTCTGTCTCTTCATGCATGATCTATTGCATGCAAACCTTGAGATACCATGTTGTCAGAGTTCTTGGCTGTAGAACCAGGGTCATAAACTTCACCAGATCTGCTTTTCACAGGACATTTCCAGACTGCTTTCTTGAATGCTTTTGTGGGACCATATTGGCAAGATAATACCTGTCTTTTATGGGGCCTGGAAAGCTTGTGGAAGAGAGTGAAAGGCTGGGTCCTGTCCTTGATGGCAATAGACTGTCTTCTGCTACTTCCAGCTGGGCTTTCCTGATATAAGTGAGATGAGCAGCTTTTATGGTCAACCTCCAATAGCAGAGGACACAGCACAGTTTCCAAAAATTCATTTTAAAGACTTGAATTATTCAAGAAGCTGCGTTTGAGTCCTAGAAAGTCATTAAGCTGGTTGTAATAAAAAACCTTCACCCAAATTATTTGGCATTTCAAAAGAAATTACTTGTGTACATTCTGTCAGTGGAAAAAATGCTTTGTTTTCCTTGTATAATCTCAGATGAAATCTACTCTTTTATGACAAATTTCGTTCAAAGAGCAGCTTACAGATTTCCTTGCTTGTAGCTGTAGGAAAAAAAAATCAGCACTTCAGTGAAAACAGTGTAGTAATTTCTGTGCTGAAAAACAAAGCTTCTGCCAGTTATACGTCTTGTCAAAAAAAATGAAGCAATTGAAGAAATGCTGACTTCTAAAGCTGAAATTCAAAGTTTCAGTTGAAAAAAAACCACTGAAATGTCTGATTTTAAAATCTTTTGGCTCTACCCTCATGTCCTGTGAACTAAAACAATGAAGAATTGTTTGAATAAAAAGCCTCAAGGAATTCTGGCAGACAAGACAAACTAAATATTATTGCAACATGTCCTGGGTTTTGAGAGCTTGTTACAAAATGACCTTTGCTGAGAGTGTCTAAAGAAATAAAATATGAAACAAATCTGATCTTAAAAGCAGTGAAATGCAATAATGACTTGCATCTTATCGCTAACAGTGATTAAAATGTGAGTCTTGAATTAATTTCAGTTAAGGCAGTTAAATAGATTCTGCAGTGCTGTTAGGCCCCATGTTTAGAAATGGTAAATTTAATCCTGAAAGGACATTGTCTGGCATTTGGAGTTACTTGGAGGAATTAATTTTGCTCATGAATGGTTGCCTGTCTGAAAGGGGGAAGATTGAATTTAGCCTGAGGGAGGTTCAGTGCTTGGATGGGGAAAAACCTTTGCAGTGTTGGGCACAACGGCATCCACCCTGAATGTGTCCTGCTGATGAGGGCCACTTGTTGAAGTGGGGCTGCTTTGTGTGTGCATGCTATAATCAGTGTTGTCCGTGCACTCAGCCTCCTACCAACGTGCTTACACACTCAGTGCATCAATGGGTGCCTCTTTCCAGCAGCATCACGGATGAAGCTGCTGGTGTAGGGGCCTGGGCAAAGAGGACTTCCAAAGTGTTTAAGCTGTATATGGCAAGACTCCTCATTCTCTGAGAATTGTCCCCAGGATGAGAAGTGGCACTTACCAGGCCATGGATATGACTGCCACAGGAGGAAGAAGCCACCAGTAGTAATCGCCTTTGTCAGAGAAGACAGCCATGAGCAGTCCCACCAAGATCCCGTTGTAGCCGTGCAGCCCAGCTGCAATGGCTGATCTGCAACAGAAAGAAATGTTAGCAGGGTAGGAAGCTGTGCTGAAGGTGACCTGTCACAGGAACCCACTGAAATGCAATTTAAAAACTTCCTGGAGAAGGAAGTGCAGGGGAAAGATGAGAGAGTGGTGAGGTAGCTGCACTGGTATGCAGAGGGCAGGAGTTTGGAGCCTGCTGGATGATCACAGAATCACAGAATATTAGGAGCTGGAAGAGACCTCGAAAGCTCATCCAGTCCAACCCCTGCCAGAGCAGGATCACCTAGACTGGGTCACACAGGAACGTGTCCAGGTGGGTTTTGCGTGTCTCCAAAGAAGGAGACTCCACAACCTCTCTGGGCAGCCTGGGCCGTGCTCTGCCACCCTCACACTCACACACTTTGTTCTCATCTTCAGCTTGAACCTCCTATGCTCCAGCTTGGGACCATTGCCCCTTGTCCTGGCATTGGACATCCCAGAGCAGAGCCTGGCTCCTTCCTCCTGACACTCGCCCTTTCCAAATGGAGACCCAGGAATGAGGGCACCCCTCAGTCTCCTTTTTTCCAAGCTTCTCAGCAGGAGATGCTCCACTCTTTCCCGCTCCTAAGCAGGAGATACTCAACTCCCTCCATCATCTTTGTGCCCCTGCTGGACTCTTTCAGGCAGTTCCTGTCCTTCTTGAGCTGAGGGCCCAGCACTGGACACAAGATTGCAGATGTGGTCTGAGCAGGGCAGAGCAGAGGGGGAGGAGAACCTCTCTGCCCTACAACCACCCCTTCTAATACACCCCAGGATGGTGTTGGCCTTCTTGCCCACAAGTGCACATTGCAGGCTCATGGTCATCCTGTTGACCACCAACACCCCCAGGTCCTTTTCTGCCTGGCAGCTCCAGCCACTCATCCCCAAGCCAGATGATGATCCACAGGAGTTCCCATGACCCAGAGGACCTACATGGTTGTGACAATGGCTACTAGAGAGAGATAACTGTCTGCTTTCACAAAGACAGCCAACTATTGGGACAGGACAGCTCTTCCTGCACCATCGCTCAGTCCTCACCTGACTGCTTCCAAACTATCAATAAGGAAAGCTGGTTTGCCATCCTTAATGTACTCAAATTTGGGGCTATGATCAGCAGGTTCCTGATACCGTAATGATCAATTTTGATTAAGTGCCCAGCTGCAAGGTACCACCTACCTGTCCTGACTGAGGGCCAGCGCAGTCAATGTCGACACGGTGGTTCCAGTGCAGCCCGTCAGCACCCACCATGGGTTCTGGATGAAAAGCCCTACTAAAATGATCAGCCCACTGAGGGGGTTGTTGACAAACATCACCTGTGAGGTCCCTCGCAGGATCCAGTCCACCAGCTGGACCACAAGGGGCCTGTCTGGAGGAGATGAAAGGAAAGCGTTGGTGATAAGGCATTGTTTCAGCAAAAAAAAAGTACACTCATCTCTACAGATGCTTTGGCCGCAGAACAGAGGCGATGTATCAACCGGGTTGTAAAACTAGTCTCTGATTTATTGCTGTCTGAGCATATTTTGCATCTGGCACTTGAAAAACTAATAAGGATGGACTGGGGTGCTGCTATAAAGTTCATGGAAAGATTAATAAAAAAGTGGTTTATTTATGGTGATCAAATAATAGTCTTTCTTGCATTGTAGATTGCTTAAGATTCTGCTATAAATCTGATGAGGAGATAGTCCCTTTTTGGTGTACAACTCAGACGCAGAGAGGAACTGAGGCGAAGACTGAAACTAGTTTGTGGATAGGAAAATATGAAAAAAAAGCACTCTTGCTGTTTTAGGGACCCAGAAAGTGGAGGTATACTACATATGGGAGATGCAGTCAAACTGTCAAAGGTGTCTAAAAAAATACTTTGGAAACCAAAGAACTTGAATTAAGAGAATATTTGCTATAGCTTGGGCTGTACTCAAGGGAAAAAGTAATTTCCAAAGGATCAAGAGCCATTGGTCTTTGGAGAACACTATTGAACCCAGACGGAGCAAATGATCACCAAGCTTGGGTACCTCAGGTGAGTGCAGGGGGAAGGTGGGATGTGTGTGGGAACGAGGGCATCTATGTGCATTGCTCCTGATGATCTCTGTGGTCAGAGGAAGGTCTTATAGCACTGCATTAACTTTTTGCTGATCACTTTTCTACTGCAAATTGACTTAAGGTCTTTTTCTGCCACTCTTCTTGGAAAGGTGTAACCATTTCTGTACCGCTGTGTGTTATTAAACATGATGCAAGGAGAATAAATGAGAAAGAAGGGCTGCTTACATGTACATTATGTTCATGCAATATGCATATGCAGCTTTCATCTTCTTAAATATTTAAAATTAATTCAATTAGTTTAGACTGTTAATTAGACACAACATAAAGTGCCAGACTACTTTTTGAATCTGGGCAAAGACTCATTCCTAAGAACTCCCGTCTCCCCTACTCCGTTTCTGTGTTGTATTTACAGTCAAGGCTCAACTTCTGCTTTCTAATGAGAGTGGCTTAAATAGAGGATCTCTGAAGGGCTGGGTACCACTCTGCACCTCTTTGGCATTGCTGGGAGAGCCCTTCCAAGAGGCTGCAGTGCAAGTTGAGGGATGGCTTCACGGTTACAGTCAGGGAGGAATAAGTTCCTTAGAGAAAAATAATCAGGCTTTTCTGGAATAATTATCAGTAATATTTGGTTTTGAGCTATAAATCATATCAGCAATGCTCTTGGTTTTAGACCCAAGTATTAACTGTAAGTGTTAAAATACAACCAGTGGGCTGTAGCCAAAACTTTTCAGGGCACTGGGTAAGAAAAGCTGTCTACAAAGCACTAACCACTAGAGTAATGAGAAAGCAGAGGAGATGATCCCCTGTGGCTGGGGACCACACTGCCAGCCTGCTGAGCTCCCTGCCTGAAGGCATCTCAGCCCACGTCCCCCACCGAGGATAGCTACAGCACAGCTTGGCTCTACACCGCCGTCTCTGATCTCTCCTCACTGGAGCTGTACTGGTAACAACCCTTGCCTTGACAGAGGACCCACAGCCTCTCAAAGCCCCAAATCCCCAATGATTCTGGGTAACGTGGACCATCTGCTCATGTATTGTTCCTGTCTGGACAGTAAACCTCGGAGATCAGTACTTGCTTTGTGTTTTATAGCAACATAACAGCCACAGTGCTTATTGCTCCCCCAGGGCTGGTAATACAAGAGCTTTTGCCCACACAACCAGGAGGCACGTCCCCTTGGTCAGCCCACACGCAGACTGGGAGATGGTCACGGATCCGTAGCACTTACAGACAAGACTAAATCCCAGCCCCGATGTGTGATTCTGGGCATGTGATGCTAACAACACATAACTGATTAAATGTAAAAGATGTCTTTTGCCTGGGCTGAATTACACCTGGGGCCATGGTGATGGCAAGAGAATGCAGAGACGTCCCATTCCTGAGAATAAAATTATTTGGGTTAAAAGGCCACAGGTTCGCAGTGAGCTTGAACCGTGATGCCTCTGCTCTGCCTCAGGGGGTGAAATGGCCCCTTGTCTCATGCCCCAGCACCAAAAATACTGTTGCTAATATGTCTAATATGTCTCCAGCCATCTCTTCCTACCCAGAGAGCCCCAGAGGTATTCCTCTGCTTACTTTTCATCCACTCTCCGTATTCTTTCATTTCTCCTGTGAGATACCCATAAACTTGGTGGATCCAATCTCTGCTTCTCCCCAGCAGGCCCCGGGCTCTTGGCTTCTGCTCAGGGTACAGCTGCCTCTCACTGGGACGTTCGGGCACAACAATCTCGCCAAGCTCCATCTCTTTTGGGTGGTTGTCCTGGTTTACTGGGACAGAATTTGAGAGTTAGTTTTCTGGTGAGGAAAATCGCAGTTTTGTAAGGACTGCAACACACTATTTCATGGGAACAAAGTGATAAAACTTTGTTACATTTTTTCTCAGCTAAAGCTGGTATACAGGTTCCTGTAGTCATCAAGGTCTTTACCAGTTTTGAGTTAGCCAGGTGTAGAAGCTTCAGGGAGCAAAAGCCAGGTCAGCAGACCCAGGCTGATCAATTAATGCTGTTCTATACCATAAACATCACGTTCACTGTAAATTGGGGAGTTTGCTGGGGGTGGCCCTTCCTCTCCCTTCTCCTTCCTCCTTCTTCCATGGCTGACATCTTGAGAGGTACTTGTTCACCATCCTGACTCTGATGCTTACTCCCTTGTAATACTGGCTGAGCATAACTCTGTGTATTTTATATTATAACTTATTAATATTAGGTTTTATTATTGTTAGTTCATTAAATATATTTCTATTTTAACTCACAAATCTCCTTTCCTTTCCCTGACTCACCCTTCCTGGGTAGGGAAGCGGCATGAGGTGATAAAGCAACTGTATAAACTGCAACAGCGGTGAGAAGACGTAACTGTAAATCACAAACCCATATGTTAGAAAATTTTTTGGGTTGTGCCCTAGCAATTTTCTGCTGTACTTTAGAGCCCTATGATGATGTTGTTTTTCAAAGATGGGATGAGACCTGCCTGAACCACTGCTGAGATTGGAGTGCGCTGCTGCCCGGGACAGTAGTGGAGTCTTTTTCGGGATGAGGACCAGAAAACGACCCCCCATTGCCATGGAGCTGTGGCACAGAGCTGCAGGGGGAAAGACAGACGTGACGTAGGTGTCCTGCAACATCCTCCCCTCACTCCAGCTCCTGATGCAGCTTGTGGCAAGCTGCTGGTTGGACAAGGGATGTCACCTTTGATAGACCATCAAAAGCAAAAGGGGGTAGCATCAAAGCATTGCACAAAAATCAGCATCCGTGTGTGGCTTCAGACAAAAATAAGCACCTTGGTTCAGGACTGTGTGCTCTCTAGTTAACAGGTGAATATCCAGGCGGGATTATGGGTTTAATAAACTCCTCATTACAGTTGCAGGGCTCTGTTTGCTAAAAAGTCCACTAAGATATAAAACCTTAAAAGAAGATGGACCGCACCCTAGTGAGCTGCACTGCAGGCTACACCTGCAAAAATCTGCTTTCTGAGGGAGTCTGGCATTGGTTTTGCTCTAACGGTTTTGAAGCAGAGTGACTGGGTTTCTCTGTGTTGCCCAAAAGTGGATTGAGTTGTGAAGCACTGGCCCCGTGTTTCGTGGAATATGGGCACCACCTTCTGGTGGGAGCCCGGTTTTTGGTCGCTCGCACACGCCGTCTGTCAGCGTTAGAGCCTGTAGCAGCAGCAGGACAGGCTGAGAAGAGATGCCTGACTGAGGAGAGGCTGTTTTGCAGAGATGAACACTGGACAGGCAGATGCTACAAATACCTGTGGCTCGGAATGCCCTAATAAGAAGGTTCTTGAGCATCAAGGGATGTTTTCCCTTCATCAATGTAAAGTGGAGCCCTGCAAATGCATCATGCAGGGCTTGTCTAGTGCTTGGGCTCACACTGCCAGCAGCTCATCCCTGCCACAGCAAGAGTCCTTGTGATGATCTTTGTGCTGAAGTATCAGCCAGGGGCTGGATGTACGGGGAAATGATGTTGGTACGTGTGACCACAAAAACAGCACCTAACCAGCCCTCAGTCTGCTTGATCTTAAAGGGGAAGGGGAGTATAGAAGGTTTTGAGTGG